GGAGGAGGAGGAAGCAGGTATGCATGAAACTCCAGAATGTCTCTTATACCACCGCTTCACCCAGGCTTCTAGAATGGTCTGCACCTGCCCCTAGAGAACTGTAGCCTTGGAAAGCTGGGGTGAGATCCTGGGAAAAGGGAAGGCTGTCAGGGTCATCAAAAATCTCTCCCAGCGTTCAGTTAGGAGGCCACAGGGAGTGTTTAGAAGAGCAGGGAATCTCACAGACCGGCTTTCTACCTTGGGGCTCCCTGCTTGCTGAGTGTGGTCCCCTGAGGTATCTTCTCATCCTCACCTAGAAAACGCAGCTCGTCGTTTGCCAGGGCTGTGATACTGCCCGGCTTGTTGAAGATTTAAGTAAAACTACATATGGGAAGTGCCTGGCCCCTGGTTCAGCTCCTAGGCAAGCTCTAACAGGGATTAGCTGCTATTTTTTCTAACCCATCCCTTCTGTGTGACCGAGCTGTGTGATCTTGGGTTAGTAGTTTAACTTCTCTGGGCTGATTCCTCTGATAGCAAATAGGTACCCTGCCACCCAGCACACTTCACATGATGGGTGTGAGGAATACAGGGATGTGTCTGAAACATAATTAGTAAGGGTGGCAGCTCTGAAATACGTGGAGGTGAGAGCAATGCTTTCATTAGAAGCAAGGGGTGGCCATCAGTGCCTCTCAATGGTGGCTTAGCGTGCGGTCAAGCAGAGAAAGTCATTGCTTTTTTTTTTTATTGGCAATTCTACATTTAAATTAATGTTCTTGTCAGTGATGACTGCATCTAGGAAGTGACCCTTTTCATTTCCCAAATCTCATGCCTAGAGGAATGTGCCATTAAAAAAACACACCGAACCCCAATTAACACAAACTCTGCAGTAGATACACAGAGGGAGGGGAGCCCTGTTGGGGGGAAGGCGGGGAAGGCACACACACCCGGTGCCTCCCCACCCCCACCCCTGACATTTTAGATTCAATTAAGAAATAAGTATTTTGCCAAACACTTTTTCCGTTAATTTTTAAACCCATCTGTATTCACAAGGAAATTTAATCCACATGTTTCTGATTCATTTACACGTAAATCATCCAAATGTTGTTTTGCAAGAGCCGGTTTGCAGTCCAAAAGCTCCTGGAGCCTTTTTCTTAAGCCCTCAAAAGCCATTTTTCTTAGAAACAGGAAGTGCCTCTTGCCAAATGCAGACCAACTTAAACCCCCAAAGAGTTGGGATCGGTTGAAAATTCAGTCCCCCTAAGAGTCCACTGAGCCCTCGATCTGACTGGAACAGGGAGCTCCATATTTCAACCCAAGCCTTCACTTGAGAATTCAAGATGTTTGTAGCTCCAAAGGTGAGGGGAAGGGGTGTCCATGTAGTGCCCGCACAGCACCCCCACCTCCATGAGGACCCTTCTGTCCAGGCACCCTTAGCAAAGGCAGACCTTTCTGAGCCTATGGCAAAAAGAAGCAAGTCTCCTCCTGCCTCCCGCCCCCCCGCCCCCCCCGCAAATCTGCTGTGTACCTGGCATCGAAGGGCAGATTCCCCACAGCACAGCCAGGTAGCGGGGCAGAGTCAATATGGTGCTAAGCAAAGTAGAAACTGACAAGCTTCCTGCTAATTTGGTCAATGGGTTCAGCCACCATTGACCAGTTGGGACCTGAAACAATCCCATTTGGATGTGCAGAACTAAAAAAAAAAAAATCTAAGCAGTGGTTTGGTTCCTGGCATGATGTGTTAAGATAATTAGATTAAACCTCCACCAGGGCCATGTTAAGCATTATAAAGCAAGGTTAACTGGTGTGGTAGTCCATAGCTAACAGCTCTTCTTAATCTGGAATGCAGGGATGGCCAACTCCAGCGTCCTGAGAGCCCAGGCTGGGACACAGTGCCCTGAGCAGGGTTTGAGGTGACTCCGCGCAGGGCACACCTTCTTTAGAGGGGCCAGGGACTCGGCTCCCACCAAACGCCACTGTGCAG